GCTTCTCACCATCTATTGGTCAGCAAGCAAAGTGGGACCTGGAAGACTGGAAAGTGGAAAAGGTGGAGACACACCGGGACCATGAAAGCTCTGGTTGCAGTTTATAGAGCACTCCAGGATTTCAGGCTGCCAGGTGTACTGCAAAGTAGATGGAAGCACATGCAAATACAGGAGGTGTCTGGTATCCAGAAGAAGAGCCACCTTACCATACAGATACACCAGACTGCAGGGGAAAAAATAAAAAGTCTTTGAATCTGTCTAAAACGTTTTGTAAAAAATGTAATTTAGATTTCTATCTCTACAAAAGAATTGGCAGATCTTGGGTCTCACATGACATCATATGAAAGACCTTTGTTACTGGCCAGCATAAGTCCTTTGCACACTTCTGTTTTACGTGTATAACAAAAAGGGAAATGTTTCCAGGTTACACTTGCAAACAAAAAAAAAATATACTGTGACCTGGAGGAGAATGGACCTATTTGGGTTGATTTACTAAAGAAGTAGAGCTTGGTCACTTTTGTATAGTGAATATTTACTTTGTGAATGAAATAAAGCCACATGACAAGTCACTTTAACTGGAATACCCTATCATGTGCATAAACATTTTAAAATAAAAAAAAAACATCAAAAGGTGAAAGTGAAAATTAATATTTTAAGCATACAATACAGGACACAAGCAGAGTACTCATACACCATAGATTATAGGCATGTACCTTCTGCTGATTGGACACACCCCCTGGGCCTCTCCCCCTATAACCCTTCCCCCACACCGTGAGTCCACAATTTGGTGCTAGTGTCTCAAGGTGATGGACCCTTAGTTTGACTAGGTAATTGTTTGTTTTTCTTGACCATTTTATCTTCCAATTCGTCAATCAAGCCCTCACGGTTTTCTAATGCTAGCATAGAGACAGTGTATCCAGATCGGTGCAACCTTGGAAATTATACCCAGACCCCTGCGCTTTTGGGAAGGCCTGTAATGTTGCTTTGGCACCGAATCTCATAAGCGCTCATTTTGGCACTTGTAATGCATTGAGTTAGTCGCAGGGTGCTGCACAGATCCAAGGCTATGGAACTCTGTTCCTGAGGACCCACCATGACTGTAACCAGAACTCTATTTACAGCCCAGCATCATGCACAAGTAAGACAGGGTTACCCTGCATCTTTTACTGTTACTGTAGAAACAGGGATATGTTTAGTATATATTCAGCTCGCAGTGTTAGCCTTTTAAAGTTAATTTAACCCTTAAGAGCACTGTGTGGTTGCATCACACCACTAGTCACACATTTTATTGCCACTTCTTCCACTTAGAGCCCTTAAGGATAAGGATTCGTTGCAGGATGGTCTACACCGGGGCTGCTGCGTTCTCCTTACGAACATGATTACCCTACACTTCACATCCTGTTCCGTGTGTACGCCAAAGAGGGATGCTTTCATTTGTACCTGTTGCAGAGACCAGGTGAAAGGGAGTCAATGCAAAATTGCAGATGAACATTCGCTCTCCTGAAGGCCGCACAAAACTTGACCACAGAGTGACTTTGCGTTCCTTGCATCAGAACAAGAACTGGCTTTAACACCGATCTCCAAAACCAATTCTTACTTTATTTCACCTATGTCACCTTTCCTCGGACAGATTATGTCCTTATAGCAGTCATTTTCATCTAGGGCCCAAAAATGCCACTTCTCTCTTATCCGAACTCTATCAATTGAAAGTGTGCAAAGAAGTGGACTATTCCTGTAGATGATCCTGCTATCTCTGTCCTAAATAAACTTCTCACTGTTCCTATTTAAGATGTCCCATCTTCAAAAATTCTGCAGACAGAAATTCTGAAACGCTCCCAAAGGCTCTTTAATCATGTAAACCCTGCAACCAGCTCTTGCTGCAATTTCAGTATGTTAAACTGCAGCTAACTGGGCTAGGAATATGAACAACCAACATGATCCTGTATTTCAGGATCATGCTGTTACAGATGAATTCTAGCATATGCTTTCTACTCTGCTTCTCTGTGTGGATGCCATAGAATATGTTAGGAGGAACATTTCCACAATAGCTCCAATCTTACATGCACATAATCGTATGGCTAAAAGCTAGGACAGATCTTCAACAAACCCTCTTGTGGACTTGGGGAAAATGCAGACTCCCTCTCTAAACTTACCTATGCTTTTGTCCAGCCAAGCAAGGATTTCTCCATCTTGATGGACTACCACCCCAGCCCTAACAGCGGGGAAGTCCTTCCTTCCCGATCTCGATCACAACTGATGAAAGTCTCTCAGACTGGGGAGGAGTGTTCCAATCCCTAACAATCCAAGGAACTTGATCACTGAAGGAAAACAAGTCCCCCCATCAACATCTTGGAGCTCAGAGCAGTCAGACTGGCCCTACAACACTGAAAAAAAAGGCTCCCAATCAGGTACAGTCAGACAGTGCTCAGCCAACCATTAAGGGGCACCATGGAGTCTGGATGGCTGAAGGAACCAAACCAGATCATCTCTTGGACAGAAACTCACTGTCCAGTGATTTTCTGCAGTCCAGGGAGTGGACACAACTAGAAAGAGATTATCTTAGCTGCCAGTGTCTTCAGTCTGATAAGCCAAAAATGTGTGATTTCAGATGTGGATATTTTATCCTCCAGATTAAACAGCAAACTGCTTCTGTTTGTTACCAGAAACAGGGATCCTCCAGCTCTAGCCTCAGATGCCTTGATAATTCCCTGGTCTCAGTTCAGGTTAATTTACACCTTCTCTCCAGTGTGTGAATCCTACTTAGTCTACCCAAGAAAAGAGTGTAAGAAAGGAAAATGGTGATTCTAATTAGATATGTGCAGAACAAAAACATTTTGTTTCATTTCAGATTGATTCATTAAGTTACTAATTTTGTTTCAAATTTTTTTAAATGGATTTGAAGTATTTGAATAAAAAATATTCAATCCGAATTTATTGTGAATAATAGCTGGTTCTGTTCTATTCAAATGTTGGAAGAAGTCTATATTATTTCTATTTTATCTTATTCTAATCAATAAAAATTTTTCTTTTCTTTTTTTCTATTATTATCTTGATTCAAATAGAATATATTCCTCTTCCGAAATTTGAAGTTCAGAAAACTCCTATATTCTTTCTATTTTATTCTATTCTAGTGTAATCTGTTCTATTTTTTCTCTATTCTATTTTCTATTCTTTTCTATTCCTTTGTTTTCTATTCAATTTTTTTTTTCTTTTCTATTCTGTTTTATTCTATTCTTTTCAAATTTCAGAAGACTGCTATATTCTAATACACAGTCTTTAATCAGCAATATCTTTTACATTTTCAGATTTTTTTTTTTTTTACTTTTCAAATTTGATTTTGTTTTCAAATTTGATTCAAGTCTCTTTTCGTTATTTCGGATTTGTTTAAATTAGTTACTGTTGGAGTTTGGTATTTCGGATACATCCGAATCTCCAAATAACAAAAATTTCATACAAATGTTGATTCGGAATGAAATGAACAGCACATGTCCAATTCTAATTGCACCAAGCTAGACCAGAAGAACTTGCTTACACACACAGACTTCTAGGAAACAACCTCTGGCCTCTTCTCATTAGACCAGAACTGCTATCTCAAAGCTCACTATGCCATTTTGTTTTTCAGTCTCTGGCTTTAACAGCATGGCTGTTGAAACCCAGATATTAAAGGATAGAGGGGGGTTTCTGAGTCTGTGATTCCTGGACATTATTGCACCTGAAAATCATTTTTTGCCTAAATGAAAACTGGCATTTCAGTGCCAGAGATTACTCTGTACCTCATATTCTGGCTTTCCTATGAACATGTTATGAGCAGAAATTGGCCTCAAGTACTCTTAAGTCAACTTTCAGCTTTATCCATTCTTTTTTCAAAGGCCTGTGAGTTCACTCTCCCTTTTTAGAAACCTTTCTTTGAGGTGTATTTCATATTAAGCCCCTCCTGCAGTACCCTGTGCTTCCTTGGGATCTCAGCTTGTTTTTTTCTGCCCTGCAGAAACCACTATTTGAACATATTGGGGATATCCCCTCATGCAAAGAAGAATTTTTTTTTTTTGGGCCAAGATCTGTTTCTGTTCTCTGCATTCCACCTTAGTGAGGACATTGTCCTTCCATCCTTATGCCTAGCCCTTAAGCATCCAAAGGAAATATCTATATTTCCTGGATATAGTCAGAGCTATTTGAGTATACCTCAAAGTTACTGCACCAATCAGACTGACTGATTCCCAGTTTGTCTTGTTCTCAGAACCTCGCAAAGGACAACCTGCGTCAAAGTACATGAAGCAATATCAAAGTGAAAAATACTGCTGTGCTTATACGCATCAAATCAGTGGGAGTTTCCTCTGCATTTCAGCACCAAGGCTCTGTAGCCCAGTTGTGTAAGGCTGGTCTTCTGTTCATACTTTTTAAACGTTTTTGCGGGTGGACATCCAGTCTACTGTTGATGTAGCTTTTGGCTGCAAGGTTCTTACAGCTGTCTGAGGTTGGGTCTTCTGACCCTTGTTGGATCTAATGGTACAGATCGGCCTCATTGTTGCTCAGCCTTCTTATTCAGTGTTTTGGGATGTCCCATGGTGTATGAATACTCTGTATGTGTTATGTCTTGTACTTTATGATTAAGATAAGAGGAATTTTGACTTCCTTGTAAACTCCATATCTAGGAATACAGGACACCAGCTACCCTCCTTTACATTCCTTGGTTAAAGCTCCATTGCTTGCTAAAAAATTCTCTCAAGGACTCAACGGAGTGGGGTAGGATTATAGGGTAGGCACCCAGGGTGTGTCCTCTAAAGGTGTGCCAGTGTCCAGTCACCTGAAGGTACATGCCTATAATTCATGGTGTATGAATACTGTATTGTACTCCATAAGTCAAGTCAAAATTCCTCTTTTTGCAAAGTGAACATGAACTACGTCTTTAGTAAAGCAACCCCTTAGCCTTTGTTTTCTGTATTTAAGACAACGTATTATCCATAACAGAAAAATATATAAATGTCTCTTTCTCATTTCAGGTGTCCGAAATGCCAAAGCCTGCCTTCATGAAGCAAAACTTAGAGGAGCTTGGGATAGGAACATACCACAACATTGCCTTCATACATCCCCATACTCCCATCATCAAAGCTTTGAATATATTTGTAGAACGACGAGTTTCTGCTTTACCAGTTGTGGATGAGTCGGGTAAGATGCTAAAAGTCATTTTTAACTACTCACATACATCAAATTGTGGTCAGACACGCAGCCTGTATCCCACCACTGAGAGATCTCGCCACGAAAAGATTAGCTCATAATGTGCGATGAGATCTGCTAAGTTTAGCCTGTTTATGCCCTTGGGGTAGAGTGAAAAATACTTCCTCTCTGCTGGATTAAAATATATCCAAACACAAAAAACTGTTTTGTTTTTTGGGGGTTTTTTTGTGATTACTAACTAGCATCATCTGCAAAAAAAAAATTAATTTTTGGTGAGATACTCGAAAAGGGAAATCAGTTCTAAAGAGAAGAAGACCCTGCAGTTTTCCTCATTTGAGCTTTGCAGTTGCAGCAGCTGATTGATAATTATGAAGTCACTCCCATACAGATTCACTCTGCACATGGACACAGACAAACAAACAGCTGAATAACAAGCGGTAGAATCTGCAACACAGTTTATTAAAATCCTTGCAATGTGCATATACCCAGAAGTTTTTTTTTGTTTTTTAAAAAAAAGTGGAGTTACTCTTTTTAAATGAGAACCTTTTCAATAGCCATGGAGGTACCCGTACATTAGCTTGCATACAGTCAAGTCACAATAGAATATATAGATAATAATAGTGTAATGTCTCCTTCTCCAACCATCCTTGGACTATGTGGTAAGTTGGGATTGAGACCATGGACCCACATTTTGTCAAATCCCTGAGAACAGTCCCTCTTAGTACAAGTTGGGAAGGGGGGAGGGTAGTACTTCCAGGAGAGTAAAATTTTTTTTGGCATAAAAATGTAATGCTCTCATTAGTTTCTTGGGATATGAGGAAAATTGAACCTCTTCTGCCAGACCCAGAAGACATATTTGGGGCATCAGAGGTTAGGTAGGCCCAACGCTGTTTCAATTAAACGGAATGATTACATGGGGGACAGCACTGCAGCGCATAGAAGCAATTGGTTTTCTAACCATAGGCTCCGTTCAGTCAGATTTTAACATGTATGGGGTCAATTCACAATAAGATATCTGGGTCATGTTACACATTTAATCCAAATGTCTCATGCAAAAACACATGTTCAATACAGCAAAATGAAAAATGTCTCGGTATTTAGCATGCCTTTTTTTGTGAATTGCACTTTCATGCGTTAAACACAGCATAAGTTATTTTAACGCAAAAATTATTGTGATATTTAACTCTGCGTGAATTGACCCCATGGCTTCTGTTAGAGAAGATACAGTGAAAATGATCATTGAATGTATGTAAATAATGTTTTTGGTTTTTTTTTTTCCATTTTAGGGAAAGTTGTAGATATCTATTCCAAGTTTGATGTTATTGTAAGTATTGTTTCACATTTATCTTTTCCATGCCTTTAAAAATACTATTGACTTGAGTCCTCCTACTGTAGTGAATCAGTGGGACTTAGACGATGTTAATGAGTTTTGTGGTGTTGATGATTATGTCCGTGTGTGTGTCTTTGAAATTGGAATTGGAAGTATTTAAAGGCCTCATGCACACTGGGCGTTCAGTCCCTATGGGTACAGTTCTGGTGTTTTTGTGCACTGGTTCAGCGTCCAGCATGCAAGAATTTTGGTATGCTTTCAGAAAATGCATCAAAACTGTCTGATGCAATAGAAGTCTATAGCAATGCGCAGGTAACCTGCGGGTACATTGCAATACACCCGCAGTGGGGGGAAACTGCACCGCATCAGTGTGAAAGTGCCATAAATGTTTGTCCATTTCTGGAATTGAAATGTGGAGTGTGAGCAAATAAGGCAGTGTGTGGAGAACAAGCCTTGAGGCAGCAGAAAATTAAGGGAATGCAGTCTTGTATGTGTACTATTAACATGTCTCTGTTCCATCATATTTACCCTACCCTACAGTCCTATAGTTGTAGAAAGCTGTATCAGGACCCAAAGCTCTGACATGACAAGTTATAATCCTATACCCACAGCTGATCCAGAGGAAGGCAAAATACAACCCAGCAAAGTATGATAGAATTTGCTCCTGCAGGGGAAAAATTTCCTTTCCTGATCCCCCGAGAGGCAATCAGATATTCACTGGATCAACTTTACCTATAAATGTTAGTATCCAGCTATATCATGTGTATCTATGAAAGAATCCAGACCTTTTTTAAAGCAATCTACTGAGCTGGCCAGAACCAACTCTTGAGGGAGTCTGTTTCACATTTTTACAGATCTTACTGTGAAGAAACCTTTCCTTATTTGGAGATTAAATCTCTATTCCTCCAGATGTAAAGAGTGCCCCCCTTGTCCTTTGTGATGACCTCAGGGTGAATAACCCTACACCGAGTTCACTATATTAGCCACTGATGTATTTATACATGTTGATCATATCCCCCCTTAATCTCCTCTTCTCAAGAGAGAATAAACTCATTTCCTTTATTCTTTCCCCATAGCCGGGCTCCTCCAAGCCTCTTATCAGTTTGGTTGCCTTTCTCTGAACTGTCTCCAGTTCCCCAATGTTCTTTTGTGAATTGGTGCCCAAAACTGAACTGCATATTCCAGATGAGGTATTACTAATGATTTGTACCGGGGTAATATGATATTTCTCTCTCTGGAGTCTAGACCTCTTTTAATACAAGAGAGGATTTTGCTCACTTTAGAATCCGTAGCTTGGCATTGCATGCCATTATTAAGCTTGTGATCTACCAGAACCCCCAGATCCTTCTCCACCATTGATTCCCCCAGTTGTACTCCCCCTAGTATGTATGATGCATGCATATTCTGACCCCAAGTGCATAACTTTACATTTATCAACCCAGTTGCCCAATTAAACGGTGCATTGAGGTCAGCTTGTAAGTTGAAGACATCCTGTAAGGACGTTATTCCACTGCACAGCTTGGTGTCATCTGCAAAGACTGAAATGGTATTTTTAATCCCAGACCCTATATTGTTTATAAATATATTAAAAAGTAAGGGTCCCAACACTGAACCTTGGGGTACACCACTGACAACCCTAGACCATTCAGAGTATGAATCATTAACCACTACTCTCTGAATTCTGAAACTCTGTACAAATACATGTGATTCTTTGTATGCAGTAGAGTTATAAATGAACTGGCAGCTCCAGAAAGGGCCAGACTATTTAAAGATGCATGTCATCCTGCCAAACGAAAAGTGATATGTGTTAACGAGCTACATTGTTTTAATTACCACAAGCCTTCCAATTACCACCCACTGTAGATGTTGATCATTAAATGCTTCTGGTGGGTCACAGAACAGAATAATTTTAATCTGACTTATTGAATATACTTCTATACAGTGGCAAGAAAATGTATGTGAACCCCTTGGAACTAACTGGTTTTCTGTAGTATTTTGCTATAAAAATGTGATCTGATCCTCATCTAAGTCTGGAGGAAAAAGTAAGTGAACCCTTGAAATTAATAGCTGGTCGAAACTTTTTTTGGCGCCAGTGACTACCAGCAAGCACTTTCAGTATCTCTGGATCAGACCTACACAACGTTCATGAGGAATTTTTGACCATTCCTATTTACAAAACTGCTTCAGCTCAGACACCTTTTAGGATGTCTGGTGTGAACGGTTCTTGTGAGATCATTTCACAGCATCTAAGTGGTTAAGATCTGGACTCTGACTGGGCCACTCCAAAAGCTCCATTTTCTTTTTCTGAAGCCAGTCTGTGGTGGACTTACTTTTGATGTTAGGATCATTGTCCTGCTATATCACCTAACTTCTACGATGCGTCAGCTGGCAGAAAACCACCCTTACATTATCCTGTAGGATGTTTTGGTAAACTTTGGAATTTATTTTCACCTCAGTGATGGCACGTGGTCCAGGCCCTGAGGCAGCAAAGCAAGCCCAAATCCAAAATGTTACCTCCATCATACTTCACTGTTGGGATGATGTTTTGATGTTTGGTTAGCACTATGTAGGGCAACAATTCAACTTTTGTTTCCACAAAACATTTTCCCAGTAGTGTTGGGGTTTGCCAAGGTGCTCTTTGGCAAACTTTGGGTGCACATCAGTGTGTTTTTTCTGTTTGGTTTTTGGAGAGCAGCAGCTTCCTCTGTGGTGTTCTGCCATGGACACCCTGCCTGTTCAAAGACTTACATATAGTAGACTCATGAACAGAGATGTTTGTCAGTTCCAGTGATGTCTTCAAGTCTTTAGATGTGGGTTTTTCTTTACCTCACAGAGGATTCTTGCATCTTGAGTCATCTTTGCTGGGTGCCCACTTCTAGGAAGAGTAGCCACAGTACTAAACTGTCTCTATTTATAGACCAGTTATCTGTCAACTGATGAATGTCTAAACACTTTGAAATTGCTTTGTATCCCTTTCCAGCCTTCTGCAGATCAACTACTCTTGATCATATGAACAGTATAAAAAAGATATGCTAGGGGCCTCTATAGCCAATATCAAAATTTGATAAATGCAGAGTAACCAGCACACATATCAACTGCCAGATTGTTGCTTACTCCACCCATAATGTATCAAAAATTATTATATTAGGTGTGGTCCTGCCAAAACTCATAAACAGTTCATATAAAAAACAGGGTTACCCCTGGAAGAAAGTTTCAAATGAGACCATGCAGCTTAATCAACAATGACTTTAATGAAAAAATATATAACACACATAATATAGAAAAAGTGAGCTAAAACCACTAACAAACACCTCACTAAATTAAAAGGACAACGCTGTCTAGTCACCCAAGCAGCTGCTCACTCGGCCACATTCATACATGGGGGGGTATTAGGTAGTATTACATGAATAGTGGGGGGCCTCAGAGGATAAAGCGGCAATTTATGGATCGCATCCCAGGATCTAGTGAAGTAATCACTTATGTCATTCCTAAATATAGTTGCTGACAATGGATCATACGGAACACACCATAATCAAATTTGGCATATGTTGGTGTAGTCACATATAATGCCTGGATGGATGGTGCAAAAGCATAGTTGTATAGTAGGGATACTGTAAAGTCAACAGCAGTCCAGATTCAAGATGTTAATAAAATGTTCATGACACAGTAACTTGCCATACTACAATCAACTCAGTGACCTCACACATGTAGCAATCAGGGGCTGAGGCGCCACCAATGTAAGCATATCATCTCTAGCATCTCACCTTTCCTTTTGTGACAATTTCTTTACCATCCACATCGGCAGTCCTTTTACAGTGTGGCAGCAGCTTCTCGTTCGCTCCTGTACAGTATCCCTACAATACAACTTGTTCGCTCCTGTACAGTATCCCTACAATACAACTATGCTTTTGGACCATCCATCCAGGCACTACATGTGACTACACCAACATATGCCAATCTGATTATGATGTTAATGGGTGTGATCAATAAAGAAGAAGAAATTAGACGTATTTGTGTGTTATCAGCTTAGTTATCAGTCTATTGTTGTGACAAAGATCAGATCACATTTCATAGCAATATCCTCTGTTTATGCCTGTGACAGAGAATGGTGTATTTAGACACTTAAAATGTAGGTTTGTTTTTTTTTTTTTTTTTTTTTTTTTTTTTTTTTTTTTTTTAGTTTTGTTCAACCAGTGCATTGAATGAAAAAAAAAAAAAACCTAACAGATTCCTGCATTCATACGTTTGATGAGGATTCAGAGATCTCTCCACTCAACCCCCCCCCCCCCCCCCCCAAATTAGCGGTGTAGCTTTTGCGTGCATGCACTGATCAAATGCTGATGTTCCATTCATGAATACTGGAGCATAGACGACCAGCTTCTGTTGGGGTTCCCATACTTGAAAGGGACCTGTCATATTTGGCTGGATGAGTTGTATTTCCATCAGGATGGTCAGACGTTCTTCCCAGAGTTTTCTCTTTTGGGCTGTTTACCTCTTTGTTGTCTCCCTGTAATTAATCATACTTTTGATTGACAGATGCATAATTCATTTTCAGAACCTTGCTGCTGAAAAAACCTATAATAATTTAGACATCACGGTGACACAGGCACTTGAACACCGCTCACAGTATTTTGAAGGCGTAGTAAAATGCAGTAAACTGGAAACACTGGAGACCATTGTGGATCGAATAGTGAAAGCGGAGGTAAGAAGCTGGCAAGGAGCACCCATATCAGAATTACTATGTTTAATGCTATTATTAATCATTTCAATAAGTTGAAATATTTATTGGATTTGTTTTTTCATTCTAAGTAAATGGAAGTGCGTGATTTTCTTGTATTCATTAACACCGTGACCACTCTGCCAATATTCAGCTACTTACTGGCTTTTCGAACAGCAGATTCTGAGCTTATTTTTAACAGAAGTCTCATGGGTCAGACATCTTGTGCTCTAACATCTGTATAACTGACCAGGGATACCGGGAGAGGGAGGAAGGGCGCCATGGACCCCCCTTTTTTTTTTTTTATAAATTAGAGCCAGCACTGAGTGTCAGTAGGCCTGTTGCATACTAAAGTATTTTTTAAATTCATATGTGTATGTTCTACCAAAAGTGAATTGGCATCCTGAACTGGTTTATGGCCATTCAAGGATCCCCCCCACTGGGAATCTGTTCAGCTGCTAGTGGGGCAAGTATTGTTATTTTATGTAGGCCTAGCTGTTCAATTTCAAAACACAAACTCTCATTCTGCCGGGTAGTAAAGGTCACCTGGGATATATGAAAGGTTGCACCCAGCATAGTCAAGCTTGGATCTGCCCCCTCCCTCTCGTCTGCATTGGTCAATTAGGCTATCTGTTACATTAAAGGGCCAAACAGGAATGCCCGGGAGGTAGGTGGAGTGCAGAGCAAAAACCTGTATACTTATAGGAAAAGTCAAATCTTGCATTGAACATCTGCTGCTCATATCTCCTACATCCATGACTATTCTGACATGCAATTTTCAATATGCAAAACCTCCTTTTTTTTTTTTTTTCCCATGCATTTTGAATTTTCCTGATTTGTGACAGATTTACTTTAAATGGAACTATAATGATTTGGGTTTGCTTTTATTTATTGTTTTAAACTGCTTGATATCCAGTGTTGTGTACCAAAATTAATTTTATAAATTAACATTTAATACAAGGCGCACCCATGTCTCAGGATTCACATAGTTGATTAGTTTTCTTAAGAGAGTGAGAGTACAGCAGAAGCAGTTTACTTTTAGTGCTGGTTCACACTAGAGCGACTTCAGTCGCACAGTTGAGGAAAAACACATATTTAATAGTTCCCCACTCCTCCAATGCAACTCCGCATTATGTGACTTTGGAAGAGCGTTCTATGCTACTTTGACTTGATTTACAGTGTGATGTGGCCCCATAGAATATGCTAAGTCACATTAAGGTCGCACCGAAAATCACTTCAAAATCACATTGCAGTAGTATGAGCTGAGCCTTAGACTCCCTCTCACTAAACCTCAGTATGGCACCTTTGAACAGGAAGGGAGGGGGGGGGTGTTTGTAAAATTAAGCCTTAACTATTGAGCACCGTAAACAACAAGCTTTTTTCAACTGAACTCCTATTGTTTTGAAGTAACATGGAGCATGTTTAAAATTCTTTGTGCCAATATTAAGAAGGCTTTTATTTTTGCTCGCTCGCTAGCTGATTTGTGCCTTTTAAACCTGTTAATTGTATTCATGGTGTCTTTATGTTGGTTGCAGGTGCATAGATTGGTAGTTGTGGATGAAGCAGATAGTATTGTTGGAATTATCTCTCTGTCAGATATTCTACAAGCACTAGTGTTGTCTCCTGCAGGTAAATATGGAAATCATTGCTCACATTAATAAGATTAGAACAAATGTTTGCTTTATCCTCCAGAAAAAAAAGCAATCATTTATTTGTACATGAATAATTAAGTATAACTTTGCTATACATATTCATTTTTACTTTGTTAGTTTAATATATGTATTTCAGCTCTTCATGTATAAAAAAAAGCAGGTGTTCTGGAAAATATATGTGTTTACAACAAGTACACATCTTGAGTTATTGGTGTTCTCTATACCTGAGAATTTCAAATTTTTTTCTTTGCGATTTATTACAGGTACTTGTATAGCGCCGTCAATTTACGCAGCGCTTAACATATATATTGTACATTCACATCAGTCCCTAACCCTCAAGGGGCGTACAATCGAAGGTCCCTAACTCTCATTCATTCATACATACACATACTAGGGTCAATTTAGACCGGATCCAATTAACTTACCAGCATGGAGTGTCGGAGGAAACCGGAGTACACGGTGGAAACCCACGCAGGCACAGGGAGAACATCTTTTAAATAGAAAAAAAGGGGTGTAACGAGCGCTGGATAGTTATAGAGCAAAGTATAAAAGCAGCTGGCATGAAAGGCAAGCCTCCAAAACGCCTCATGGTAAACAGTAACATACAGAAAACATGCAGCGCTAGGGTATATAGATCTGTCTCATGATAAAGTATGACCATCTAATCAGGTATAAACGCAGCTAGCATAATGGTCTTAAGCAACCAATACTATAACATTGTCATCATTAAGAAGGTGTAAATAGTGATATAGGTGTCAAAGTCAATATATCATAGGAGTGACGTAAATAAATCTGTGACATCTGTGGTAGGAAGTGTGGCTGTAGAATGCACTAACCAGATAGCGCAGATAATAGCGCCTTGGAGTAAAATGACCCACTCCTGGTCAATGGATCAGGGAACCTGCCGGAGTGGTGGTCGTCTCTGCTGTGGTCACCAGAATCATCTGCGTCCTCTCCAATTATGGAATTCCCAGGTGTCCAGTGGGATAAACGCTCATCCGGTATATAGTGGAATCCTTATGTCAGCGACCTCCAGGGGTGCGGTGTGCGCTCAAGGAACAGGAATCACCTTCAGGGCTCAGAAATAAACCCAAAAGAGAGGCTTCCGATAGTGTGATATCTTTTATTGAGGAGTAATAAACAAATAAAGCACTTACATGGTGCAATGCACAATTCCAAAGATGGCTGCCCACCCGTTACCCCTTTGATAATGTGCAATTGCCACGAAACGCGTTAGTAGGATGCTATTTTATCTACAACTACTACCCACATGGTCCACACCTTGACACGGGCGGCCATCTTTGGAATTGTGCATTGCACCATGTAAGTGCTTTATCTGTTCCATGGCCAGGTATGTGTTATTCCCTCATTATCCCAGTTACAATAAGCAGATAAAAGGTCCAGAGTTCATTTCAAGTGTGCTATTTGCATTTGGAATCTGTTGCTGTCAACTCTCCAGATTAGATCCAAAGAGCTGTCACCATCAGTGAAGCAAGCCATTATTAGGCTGAAAAAACAAAACAAACTCATCAGAGAGATAGCAAAAACATTAGGCGTGGCCAAAACAACTTTGGAACAGTCTTAAAAAGAGGGAACGCACTGGTGAGCTCAGCAACACCAAAAGACCCGGAAGACCACGGAAAACAACTGTGGTGGATGACTGAAGAATTCTTTCCCTGGTGAAGAAAACACCCTTCACAACAGTTGGCCAGATCAAGAACACTCTCCAGGAGGTAGGTGTATGTGTGTCAAAGTCAACAATCAAGAGAAGACTTCACCAGAGTGAATACAGAGGGTTCACCACAAGATGGAAACCATTGGTGAGCCTCAAAAACAGGAAGGCCAGATTAGAGTTTGCCAAAAGACATCTAAAAAAGCCTTCACAGTTCTGGAACAACATCCTATGGACAGATGAGACCAAGATCAACTTGTACCAGAGTGATGGGAAGAGAAGAGTATGGAGAAGGAAAGGAACTGCTCATGATCCTAAGCATACCACCTCATCAGCGAAGCATGGTGGTGGTAGTGTTATGGCGTGGGCATGTATGGCTGCCAATGGAACTGGTTCTCCTGTATTTATTGATGATGTGACTGCTGACAAAAGCAGCAGGATGAATTGTGAAGTGTTTCGGGCAATATTATCTGCTCATATTCAGCCAAATGCTTCACAACTCATTGGACGCCGCTTCACAGTGTAGATGGACAATGACCCAAAGCATACTGCAAAAGCAACCAAAGAGTTTTTTAAGGGAAAGAAGTGGAATGTTATGCAATGGCCAAGTCAATCACCTGACCTGAATCCGATTGAGCATGTATTTCACTTGCTGAAGACAGAACTGAAGGGAAAATGCCCCAAGAACAAGCAGGAACTGAAGACAGTTGCAGTAGAGGCCTGGCAGAGCATCACCAGGGATGAAACCCAGCGTCTGGTGATGTCTATGCGTTCCAGACTTCAGGCTGTAATTGACTGCAAAGGATTTGCAACCAAGTATTAAAAAGTGAAAGTTTGATTTATGATTATTATTCTGTCCCATTACTTTTGGTCCCTTAACAAGTGGGAGGCACATATGCAAACTGTTGTAATTCCTACACCGTTCACCTGATTTGGATGTAAATACCCTCAAATTAAAGCTGACAGTCTGCAGTTAAAGCACATCTTGTTCATTTCATTTCAAATCCATTGTGGTGGTGTATAGAGCCAAAAATGTTAGAATTGTGTCGATGTCCCAATATTTATGGACCTGACTGTATTACTTCCCCCATATTATTAAACCATTTTGAAAGGATTAACATATTATGACCATGTATATTTAAACCTGATCATTTATCTCTAAAGTATATCTAAACCTAAAAAGAAAAATCTTATTTATTGCAGATTATCAATCTTTAGCTATGGTGGCCACATTGTTATTCTTTCTCAGGCATTTTGCCCTTTATTCCTGGTGATCCTACCAGTGATACACTTCCTGTTCTAAGCTGACCACTAGGACAGGACTACAGAAAAGATGAGACCTTTTGCTCTAGTACCTAAAACTGAGACGCGCATCAAAATAGTGTTTTACAGCAATAGTGCTGTATAACCTTTCTTATGTCAAATCACATTCATGGATAAACATGCATTCTCCTGGGTAACACAGCACCTGAAACAAAACCATCCAAAGGGATAAAGCGATGTGCGATCATTTCCCACACCACACAATCTGTGTAAAATTTCACTTAAAAGTGTTCTCCAACTACACTATATGACACAAATCCCAATAAAGTGCAACAATAGGTCTTCCTGACTCTGTAGGACTGAATCTCACATTTTTACTTAAGACCAAAGCAAAAAAGAATTTAGCATAGTAAACTTATATAACCATTAAAGGTTTACCATTCTCCAAGAGTCATACTAGAATGAAGTCTTAAGCTCGTCTCATATTTCTCAGCAAAAGAAATGCATCGCAGTACATAGTGTAAAACCATATGAAATATTTTATTAACTACTTCCAGTCTAGGCCATTTCTGTCACTTTTTGTTCACATGAAACAACCAGATTTTTGGGGGTTTTTTTTTTGCTTTCCCGTTCCAACAGGAAGCCTTGGACTGAAGCCAGTGGTTCTGCAGCTTACCATAGAGATGACCGACCAGAAGTTCCCCAATCATCTCTATGGTCTAAGAAAACAGAAGTGACAAGGATTTTGCCACTTCCCTTTTCATTCAGATGTAAACGAGCTGTTACCGGTATCTGATCAAACCAATCTCAGTTTGATCAAGCTACTTTTAAGGGCAGAGGAGATATCTGGGGTCTAATAGACCCCAGATGTCTCTGTAAAGAGTACCTGTCACTGCCCCAACTATCACAAAGGATGTTGTTCATCCCTTGTGATAGCAAAAAAACTGATCAAAAAACAATTTAAAGAAACCCTGTAAAAAATAAACAAATACAATTTAAAAAAAAAATGTACAACACTAAACTGTAACCTGTAAAGGATATAAAAGCATCACCTATGGAGATTTTTATGTACCATACTTTGGTGCCGTTCCACAGACCTATGCAATTTTAAAACCTAGTATGATAGGTATTTACTCAGCATAACATCGTCTTTTAGATTTTACAAAAAATGGATATTATGTTTGTCTTCACTAAAATTTTTTTTTTTTTTTTTTTATTTCGCATGAAAAAATGCTGTGCATATACTGCTGCAAAGCAAATTTTCTAGGGCCTTTGTTTAAAAAAAAAAAAAAAACAACATAAAAAAAAACCCTATATCACATTTTTTTTGCTTGGCAACCGAAAAGGAAGACACACAGTTTGTTTTATCCAGCTGTATTTACTCAGTGCAACCTTATAACATCCAAGTGAAAGATACAACACCAACATGTCAGAAAAAAATAAAACAAAAATCTAAAACCAGAATCACGGAGCTGGAAATTCAAATCATTCCACAGATTTTCAATGGGGTGGTCATTTGTGCGTTGTGTTATTGTCATGTTGGAAGGTAAACCTCCTGCCCAATGAAAACTTTCAGATTTTCCGCAAGAATTTGACGGTATTTTGCCCCATCCATTTTTGTTCTATCTATCCTGGTAAGTGCTCCAGTCCCTGCTGCAGAGGAACACCCCATAGCAGGATATTCCCACCTCCATGCTTTACTGTAGGAATGGTGGTATTTGGATTGTGAGCTGCATTTCCACCAGACATATTGTTTGTTGTTGAGGCCGAATCATTCAATTTTAGTCTCATCTGACCAGAACACCTTTTTCCATGTGGCCTCAGAATATTCAAGATTCATTTTGGCAAAGCCGTGAATGCATGTGGCCTTTTCCGAGATGTGGCTTTTTTTCTTGCAACCCTCCCATACAAGCCACATTTGTGGAGAATCTGTGATATTGTTGTCACATTCACACAATGGACCACGTAGTTCATTGATAAAGCCTTTGAAATTTTTTGTTATCCATCTCCTGACTTGTGCCTGTCCACAACTTTATCCCAGAGATCTCTTGACATTGCCTTGCCACCCATA